GCCTTGGAGGAACCTCGGGCTGAATGCTTCCACACTGTGAGCAGGATGAAGATGTAGGAGACGAGGAGCACAAGGAAAGAGCCGAAGCAGATAAAGCCGCTATTGACAGTGACCATAAACTGCAGCCCGTAGGTGTCCGTACAGGCCAGTCTGAGAAGCTGAGGGAGGTCACAGTAGAAGCTGTCTAGTACATTAGGACCACAGAAGGGTAAGTTAATAAGAAATGCCAGCTGGAACAGCGAGTGAACAACTCCAAGAGCCCAGGCAGCAGCCAGAAACAAAATGCACACTCGCGGGCTCATAACGGTCAGGTAGTGCAGGGGCCGGCAGATAGCCACGTACCGGTCAAAGGCCATGGCCATGAGCAGCACCATCTCCACACCACCTACAACGTGAATGAAGAAGACCTGAGCAATGCAGCCTCCAAAGGAGATGACCTTGTGCTTTCTGAAAAGATCGCAGATCATCTTGGGAGAAGTGACAGAGCAGGCCCCCAAGTCAATGAAGGAAAGGCCTGCCAGCAGGACGTACATGGGGGAGTGCAAGTGGGGGTCAGAGGCCACCGAAAACACAATGAGTGTGTTTCCCGTCACACTGGCCACATAGAGCACGGCAGAGAACGCCAGGAGGAGGAGCCGGACCCCCCAGGACTGAGTGAGCCCCAGAAACACAAACTCAGTCACCACTGAGTGATTCCCTCCACCTGGGGATCCCGGCAACAGGGCTGCAGCTGAATCCATGAGACAGGAAAGTGAGGAGGAAATTGTAGCCATAGGTGTGAGAGTACGTGCTGAACTCATGGAGGTTGCAGTGTTCTCCTTATAAATCTGCAGTGTGCAGTTCCTCAGCTACACAAAAGAGCAAAAATCCACGACACAATGAGTGCACATTATTTAACCCTATCACCAATGCCCTCTGTGTAATTCTACACTACACCAACAATTAGGCAAGAACCAAGCATCCATGACTATCCGTGGCTTTTCTCAGGTGTTTAAGTCAGGTGTTACCTTGAGCATTCCTCGTTTCCAGCATAGTGTCACGGTCCTATCCCCTGTCCAGCTGACAGACAATGTGGACATGAAGAAAACACCACAACTGCTGGGTCTCCACAGGGGACGCCAGACACTCGAGATGCGATTCGAGAGTGCATTGACACAGCCTGTCGACAGAGACAGAGTAGAGGTTAGAGTACAGAGACCAAACCAAAACGAAGCAAGTGTATCCATCACATTTTCCCATTTGCACGGGTATCTAAGGCCTTTGGTTTCTATGTAATATTTTACAATTACACAGAAGCCCTCAATGGCTTCCCTTCTTGAAACAATTTCCTAAGGATGTGTGCCACCTGCCTTCAGAGCTAATAAATGAGTATCTGGGGGATAGCTCCAGAGTTTCTGCTAAAGCACATGTCCAAAGAACCTGAAGAAGAGGTAAATGCATTTGTAGTTCCTCTGTGTCTATCACATGAAGGTACTGAGGATCAGTACTTAAAATAATTGAAATGTGAAGTGCTCATTTGTGAATGCCTTCACCTGTATTTGGTGTAGCTTTTGTATTTATTGGTATCCCACTCTGTGAAGTATTATCTCCTATACAGTAAATTGTCCTAATATTTTATTTTACCCTGCTTATTTTATAGACAATGTATTCAAATATACATATTTTATTCACAAGAAAATTGGGGTTTTATAGTTGTAATTAATAAAGGAGATGAATGTTATATACACTAAGTCACTTTTAAGAGAGAACATGAGGCTTCTGGAAGACTTTAAATGATAATGTACAAACTGTGACACTGGAGAATTAATCTTCAATGCTCACTGCATTTTTATGTGAAGTGGAAGGTGAGCAGTGTTCTGTTTCTCTGTGTTCTAATGGATACTTACCTCAATTCTGTTCCTATACTAAAGGTTGGCTAACTTAGTACATGCTAGTAAAAGTCAGTGAAAGAAAACAGGAATACTGACGCATGATACGTTTACTTCAGCCCAGGCCTCCTCACACAAAGGGCCATTTGTCTAATGACACTATTCATCATAGACCCTAAAACACACAGAGGCACACATTATGTCCTGACTCCAATATGTGGTCATCACTACTGGTGTTAGTCATCTATCTAGTGTCTTCTAGATAGATAGATAGATAGATAGTCTACTGGCTCTCCATCTATACTTGTGACTACAATGTCACTTCCTGAACTAATAGTCCACATATATAAAGTGTATCATTTGCCAGGCTCGTGCCTGTAATCCTAGCTCCTTAGGAGGCTGAGATCTGAGGACCGTGGTTTGAAGCCAGCAAGGCAGAAAAGTCCTTGTGAGACTCTTATCTCTGAATAACCACCCCAAAACTAGAAGTGGCACTCTGGCTCAAGTGGTAGAGCACTAGCCTTGAGCACAAAGAGGCTCGGGGACAGTGCCTCCTGAATTCAAGCCCCACAACTGACCTCCCCCCCAAAAAAAGTACCACTTTTATAGCTACAAATCTACAGCCTGAGATGGTAAGCAAAAACAGCAACAGGTCTGTCCATGCCAGTGGCAGGAATAAGGGTCTGGGTAGGGACAAGAAAATTCAGTCATGGCTGACAAGGACCTAAGGCCTGGGTAAAGGAAATGTGCCTGTGGTGTGACAACATGACGATGTACATGGATAGAGGAAGACTGTCTGTCCACGTCTATCCCTATTCAGATCAAATTAAGCTGAGTTCCAGAAAGGAACACTGAATTGCCAAAAATTCACACAAAGGGATCGGAACCCAGCACTCTTAATTCTTATTCCAGAATGGAAAACCATAATTACAATTAAGTAAAATAGCAAGTAATCAAAAAAAAATCAAAACTCAGAGTATCCATTACTAATTCTAAATTGTATAGCAAAGTAAGAAAAAGTGAAGATTACATGAAACGTATACATTATTAATACTAAATTCCACCACAAACTAAGAATAAATGGAGATTACATAAAATGTGCACTGGCTTGTGCTTATGATAATAAGTTATCCTGTAATGTGTACACCCATGGTGGTACTTGGTCACTACAACTGTTAAAACAAAGGTTTGTGTTTCTGAGAAGTCTGACTTTGGGTCTTCCCAGCTTTATTGCCCTCAATGGTCACTTTAAATACTAGTATCTTGTTGTAAACCTACTGATAATTCTCACTCACACTGATTTACAATTTATCAAACTCCTATAGATAAAAAACAAGGAAGCAGTTGGAAAAAGCATACATGTTAGGTATAACAAGTAAAGTCTAATGTGACAGTAGCACACATCAGCTGAATGGTAAGAAATATTTTATTAATTTGGGGTGAAAATGTTTGCAGAATACAGAGATGCACCAGGAGAAGAGAAGGGAGTCTATGCTAGGGCCAAAGCCATTGTCTGACTTTTTAGTAGAAATAGTGAAAACTAAATAGGAAAAAAAATGTATCCCATGTGTGTAAAGTGTCTTGAAGAATACAATCTTGGAGACTCTGGAGTGCTAAACACCAGTGTCCCTGTGTATGCACCCGGGTCATGTAGATGGAC